GAATCCATGATAGTATTTTTTGTAATACTTGATCGTATTTTTGTAATCCATGATCGAATTGTTTTTTTTTTTGAATCCATGATCGAATTTTTTGTTTTTTTTTGTAACCCATGATAGAATTTTTCGTAATCCATGATCGAATTTTTGTAATCCATGATTGAAAGTTTTTTTTTCTTGTAATCCATGATCGAATTTTTGTTTGTTTTTTCTTGTAATCCATGATCGAATTTTTTGTTTTTTTTTTTTTTGTAACCCATGATAGAATTTTTGTAATCCATGATCGAATGTTTTGTAATACATGATCGAAATGTTGGTTTTTTTTTGTAATCCATGATCAAAATGTTTGTTTTTTTTTTGTAATCCATGATCGAATTTTTTGTTTTTTGCTTTTTTTGTAACCCATGATAGAGTTTTTTGTAATCCATGATTGAATTTTTTGTAACCCATGATCGAATTGTTTTTTTCTTTTTTTGTAATCCACGATTGAATTTTTTGTTTGTTTTTTTTGTAATCTATGATCGAATTTTTTTTGTAATCCATGATAGAATTTTTTGAAAATTTGTGATTTTTTTTTTTAATCCATGATCGAATTTTTTTTTGTAATCCATGATAGAATTTTTTGAAAATTTGTGATTTTTTTTTTTAATCCATGATCGATTTTTTTGAAAATTTGTTATTTTTTTTTTAATTCATATTATTCAAAGAGAAAATGAGAGAGATGGTGATTCTGAGGCCACCCTATCCCAGCCATATTATTCACATATCGAGTCCCAAAAGCAACAGTGTAGGGATGAGCACGACAGTGCAGGTGCGCATGAAGGATGGACAATCTTCGGGGATTTTAGATTGGGAACACAACAAAACACTAACACTCAGGGATTTGGGAATAGTCAGACGCCTGCTAATATCGATGATTTGTTTTTAGATCGAATCAATGAATTGTTAAACGAATTCAATCAATGGCACCAGCGTGACCAAAAAGAACAATAACGTCGTCTATCATTTTATTTTTAGATCATATGTTACTAATTTTATGCTTTATTGTAGTCCATGTATGTTGATATACTTATTCCATGATAATTATATGTTTATCCTTTTGTGTGATGTAAATTAAATGCTGAATGGCGGTTCATGCAGGGAAAGAACATATCAATATTCGCATATTCATTCAAAAACATGAAAATTCTTAATGGTGTACCCTCATTTCTTATTGAATTCCTAAAAAACAATATTTATAATGAATTTTAATAATTTTTTCGGATTTTTTTTAAGCTTTATTATGACCGATTCACCCAATTCCCTATCCGGATCGCCGATTTGTCGATCCGGATCGATTTTTTGGAAGCCCGATTCGGGTCACCGATCCGTTTTTTAAACCATTGGTGCCAACACAAGCAAAACATTTATGAACATGCATGTTCATGTCCGCAGTTTTATTAACATCTAACTATTTGAATAGTGTGCTCTAAAGATGTCCAGTTTTGTAAGATTTTGGAATAATCATTGGAACAATATAGAGGGATTGTCAACAAAAATGTCATTTATCTTTTGTACATGAAGTTCACAATTATTCTTGTAACTTTCAAAATGGGTGGTTGTCAGAGTGTCATTGAATGGACACAAAGTTCCCCAAAATAAAATTCTCGGACTTCTGACTCACCCAAGCTATCCAATTTGACCTCTAACGAGTAAGAATGATTGTCACTTTTATGTACAAAAGAGAAATGATTTCTGCATAGACAATATCCAAATATAGGGGTAACATGAGTTGGGTTATTCTCTTGAAGTTTGGCTCAAGAACCCCAACCTTGACCCTATTTTTATATCATGTCTTAAAATCTCTGAAAATATTTTCAGATACTGAACATTCATTACATGATTATTTATCTTTAGTATAAAAAGATCAAATTTGTTTTCTCTTTGATTTTGAGTACGGTCAATGACATATGACATACTCTCAACCGCAAGTTTTCACATCTACAAATTAAAGAATTGTGACCATCTTGTATCAAAGATAAGCAGTCTTATTGAATATCTTAAAGAGGGATACAATATGATACATGATGAGTGAGCGATGACCGGCGACGACCATGAGCGATGACCGGCTACAACGATAGGAAGTTACAAATTGTCAGGGATTGAAAGTTACATGCTATCCAAATTGGATACTTAGACTTGGAACAGCTTGAAATGTTAGTTTTAAATATTATTATTGTTGTCGTTTATGTATTATTATTATTATTATTATTGACATTATTCGATATTTTATTGCTAAAAAAGGAGAGAGTACAAAGAATTACAACGACAAAATTGCATCTTTTGAAATAACCAAGGAATCCAAAGTCTCATTTTTTTAGCCAACACATTATTATTATTATAATCAAAATAACCTAAAGGCAAACTGCTGTAGTACCTGCTCTAGCTTGACCAAGGTGGTGGGGTGGGACAAATGTGACATCTTAGGTTATATTCCTACATAATCCCAAATTAACATTAACAAAATAAATTTTCAAATGTGAGATTTGGGTCAGCGCAAACTTATACAAGCTATTTTTCCTTTTTTCTGGTAAATTTCTTCATCCAAAAGCTCACTCAAACACAATGTGCGTATTCTATGCCTTTTCCCTCTCCTTGAAAGACCACTTTCAATTTTATTTTCTAATTTCTTTAGGTCCTTTTATGAAAATTATGTGAACCTACAAAAAAAAAAAAAAGAAAAAAAAAAAAGAAAAAAAAAAGAAAAGAAAAAGGCCCCCCTATTTCCTATTGTGATAGTATTATCCTCTTATTCCTATTATTGAATAATTGAATATATTATTTTGTATCATATACACTGACTATTCCTATTATTGAATATATTAGGTTTATTGAATATATTAGGTAAAAAGTACTTGTGGGATTTGAACCCACGCCCTATTGAATATATTATAGTATTATCCTCTTATTCCTATTATTGAATAATTGAATATATTAGTTTGTATCATATATACTGATTATTCCTATTATTGAATATATTAGGGATTATTGAATATTATTGAGTAAGAGATGGAATATATTTTAGATAAAACGTTGAAATATATTTTAGGTAAAAAAGTATTTGTTGAGTTGAATATATTTGGTATTATTGAATATTATTGGGTAAGAGATAGAATATATTTTAGGTAAAACGTTGGAATATATTTTAGGTAAGAAAAGTATTTGTTGAGAACTGATCATTCCTATTATTGAATATATTAGGTATTATTGAATATTATTGGGTAAGAGATGGAATATATTTTAGGTAAAACGTTGAAATATATTTTAGGTAAAAAAGTATTTGTTGAGTAGAATATATTTGGTATTATTGAATATTATTGGGTAAGAGATAGAATATATTTTAGGTAAAACGTTGGAATATATTTTAGGTAAAAAAAGTATTTGTTGAGATATTAGGTATTATTGAATATTATTGGGTAAGAGATGGAATATATTGTAGGTAAAACGTTGAAATATATTTTAGGTGTAAAAGTATTTGTTGAGTTGAATATATTTGGTATTATTGAATATTATTGGGTAAGAGGTAGAATATATTTTAAGTAAACGTTGGAATATATTTTAGGTTGAAAAAGTGTTTGTTGAGAGTGGGATTTGAACCCACGCCCTTTCGGACCAGAACCTTAATCTGGCGCCTTAGACCAACTCGGCCATCTCAACCCATACGAAATGCTTTTTCACAATAAATTTATTAATCAATCTTGATTTGCCTTGTGAACAAAAAAATCTCTCAAAGGGCCTGTGTGGATTGGTCTTGCCCTACCACCCAAGGTCTAGCACCCCAAAAATCTACGCCTTATTTCATGTCCTTAATGGGTTTTTACCATTTATAAGGGGTGCAATTGACATACGGATGCATCGTAGCTATAGAAGTACGGTGCACCTTCAAATTTTATCATGGGATAATTTTGATGTAATGTAAATTTTCTTGGCCTTCTTTATTTGTTGTATTTACTTATATGGCATCTTATCGATCTTTAGTGGGATCCTGCTATTTAAAATTCTCAGTCCTACAAGCAAGAGGTTCTTAAGGACCCTAGATGTAGAACTTGAAAATTGATGATGCAATTTCACACAGAGATAATTCTGGCTTTATCCAGATACTGCAGCTTTAACCTTGATCACATATATTATGGTCTCTTAAGAGCATAATCCACTTCTACTCCCTCAATTAGAAGACTTTGGGAGGA